GGGCTTTGGCTTGGTTTGGGGGCTGGCTCCGGTTTGGGTTCGTGATGAGTAGTGTTTGGGTGGCCTTGGGGTGGGCATGTCCGCAAACTATTGCGTTCAGCTGACCATAAACCCGAAACCCGGAACCCGAAACCCTAAACCCTAACCCTAACCCTAACCCTAAACCCTAAACCCTAAACCCTAAACCCCATCCCCCCCACGCCTGCGGCAAAGGCCTGTCCCTGGGGGTCGCCGGGGTAGCGGGACTTGGGGATGATCTCCATGGCCATGGCACCCTTCATGCCCTCACCTGGTTGGGTTTAGGGTTTAGGGTTTAAGGTTTAGGGTTTAGGGTTTAGGGTTTAGGGTTTAGGGTTTAGGGTTTAGGGTTTAGGGTTTAGGGTCTTAGGGTTTGGGGTTCAGGTGTCAGGATTGAGGGCTTAGAGTGCATGACCTCACCTGGGGGCTTAGGGTGTGGGGCTTAGGCTTTAGGGATGAAGATAAATAGTCGCAACAGACAGGACTGGAGCTGTTTCAGAACAGGGCCTCCCCAAAAAAGCGTTTAGGCCTCATTATGGGGAGCACTGACATGTATCCCTAAACCCTAAACCCTAAACCCTAAACCCGAAACCCTAAACCCTAAACCCTAAACCCCAAACCCTAAGCCCCAAACCCTAAACCCTAAACCCCCCCCCCCCCACTGCGCGCCTGGCTGGTAGCGGAGGATGCCGAACGGGCGCTTCTTGAAGTCGACCGTGGCACCGGGGCCGCTGGCCTGCGCCGCGTTGAAGGGGACGTCCGAGTCCTGGTGTGCTTGGGGTTTAGGGTTTAGGGTTTAGGGTTTTAGGGTTTAGGGTTTAGGGTTTAGGGTTTAGGGTTTAGGGTTTAGGGTTTAGGGTTTAGGGTTTAGGGTTTAGGGTTTAGGGTTTAGGGTTTAGGGTTTTAGGAATAGGGTTTAGGGTTTAGGGTTTTAGGGTTTTAGGGTTTTAGGGTTTTAGGGTTTTAGGGTTTTAGGGTTTTAGGGTTTTAGGGTTTTAGGGTTTTAGGGTTTTAGGGTTTAGGGTTTTAGGGTTTTAGGGTTTTAGGGGTTTAGGGTTTTATTTTAGGGGAATAGGGTTTAGGGTGTTAGGGTTTTAGGGTTTAGGGTTTCGGGTGTAGGGTGTAGGATTTCGGATTTAGGGCTAGGGTTTTAGGGCTTTAGGGTTTTAGGGTTTTAGGGTTTTAGGGTTTTAGGGTTTTAGGGTTTTAGGGTTTTAGGGTTTTAGGGTTTTAGGGTTTTAGGGTTTTAGGGTTTTAGGGTTTAGGGTTTAGGGTTTAGGGTTTAGGGTTTAGGGTCGAAACACATGGCTGACCTAGATTAATCCCTTCCCCCTAATAGTAAGCGCCCCCCCCCCCCCCCCCGGCATAGAAACTCGAAATGTGTTTTCATTATTAGGGGGAGGTTTTTTATCCAAATGTCATGTTTGGAGTCCAAAGGGTTTAGACAGCTATGTGCCGCGAAATGACTGGGAGGGAAGGGAGGGCTGGGAGGGAAGGGAGGGAAGGGAGGGAAGGGAGCTTCAGGATGTTGGTTGGCTTGAGGGTTTTGGGAGCGCCCCCCCCCCCCCCCCTTATGCTTCAGGATGTTGGTTGGCTTGGGGTTTTGGGAGCCCTGACCCCCCCCCCCCCTTATTCGGAATAGGGTTTAGAGGGCGAAGTCGCTTTCGGCAGGATTCTGCGGAAAGTGTTTTTATAGTCAGGGGGGGGGGGGGGCGTTTAACAGAAGGGGGAAGGGGTTTGTCCATTATGAGCCATTTGTAGAAAATTCCTGGAATGTTAATGTTAGGGTACGAAACGAAATTATACAAGATCATACACTATGGAAGCAAACACATGCTAGTAAGTCCTGCGTTGTTTCTCAAGTCTCCGCCCTAAACCCTAAACTCTAAACCCTAAACCCTAAACCCTAAACCCAAAACCCAATCCGGTCCTTGGGGCCGCATCGCTCCAGGTACTCAGCGCTCACGCGCGCGGGCACGCGGCTGCAGTCGCGCGGCGTCTGCGGGCTGCCCACGAAGCAGCTGCCAGGGCTTTGGGTTTAGGGTATTAGGGTTTAGGGTTTAGGGTTTGGGTCATCAGGGTATGTGCCACACTATGCCTCTGAACCCTAAACCCTAATCCCTAAACCCGAAACTGTGCCACACTATGCTGTCGACGACATGCCATGTCAACCAGTTATGGACTGGCCATGCTCTGTTCAACTAGATGTTTAGGGTTTGGGGTTTGGGGTTTAGGGTTTGACCCTTTCGTAACCCTCGGAAGAATTGTCTGAAATAGGATCCTGTTCAACCCAAAAGGGAACATGATATGGAGGGTCGGCATGAGTACTAATAGTATTCCCTTATGGTCCCTATACAGTTATACGATACCAACCCCAAAAGCCCCATTCTCATCATAAAGCTTTTGAAAAATCGCCTGCCTCGCAAGGCTGTAGACCGCAACCAGCACGGCCACAGCAGGCAACAGAGTTGGGCGTGCCATTGCGAGGTGGAGAGGAGCACAACAACGGGGGCGGAGGAGCGACGTGCTGAAAAGCAGCTAAAGAGCATCGAAACGCCGGCGGTTCACATCGGCAAGGGTTTGGGTTTTGGGTGTCGGTTTTTAGGGTTTAGTTGAGAAAGGTAAGGAATCAGCGCGGAATGAGAGTCCGAGACATCTGAGTCAGAGCGGAGACAACCGCAGAAACAGCGAGCGTAGCCAAGATGTCTCACGACATCTGCACCGAGAAGTCTGGATGAAGAAACGTTTAGAGTTTAGGGTTTAGGGTTTAGGGTTTAGGGTTTAGGGTTTAGGGCTACTATGATATGGAGGTTTACGATATTTGGGGTAGCCTTTTTGGGGTCCCTATTAAAGGGGGATCCTAGCCTTGGGGGGTCTATTCTAGGAGTCCCCGGAGTTCGTCCCACATGAACCTGCAAACACTTGTTGGGGTTTAGGGTTTAGTGTTTAGGGTTTTGGGGCTTAGGTGTGGGAAAGCCATCTAGGCCCTAAACCCTAAGCCCCAAAACACCGCGAGCCCAGCATCCTAAACCCTAAACCCTCAACCCTCAACCCTCAACCCTAAACCTAAACCCTAAACCCTGAACTCGGGGCGCCTTGCCCTTTGCAGGGGACATGACCAGCTCGTATCCGAATTTTCGGAACAAAACCTGGGCGGGGAAGGTGTTTAGGAGGGTGGGTGGGGGGTAGCAAGAGTTGGCCTTTCTTGGGTCTCTATTCCGTAGATCGGGGGTTTAAGGTTTGCGGCGCCTAAACCTAAAAAAATCATGCTCCACGCATTTGCGCAGAGCTCCCGTGAGCCGATTTCAGACTCCTGACAACGGGTGAATCAAGCCCTGCTCAATCTTAGTTAAGCAAAAAAACATCTAAAATCAAAACATCACACGCACACAGACAGACACTACAAGAACCCTATACTGTAGGAGCCTTAATAATTAGAACAGGGTTTTTGGGGTTATTATTATAGTATGACCATAAGGGAATGTGATTAGTAATTATTCCGACCCCTATATTTAGCACTACAAGCCCTAAACACTTACACAATGAAAACCTTAAAAGCCCTACAAGCCCGAAAAACCCTAAACCCTAAGGTCCTCGCCTGCTTCTTCCCCCTGTGGTGATGCCCCCTTGACAAAAACGCCGTGGGCGGTGCCTACAGGCAGTCTGCGCAAGGGAGAAGTTTAGGGTTTAGGGTTTAGGGTTTAGGGTTTAGGGTGTAGGGTTTAGGGTTTAGGGTTTAGTGGGCTAAAATGTGTACGTATTACGGGCAGTTTCTACTCCAAGTCTATGTATATATATATATATACACATGTAAGTTAAAGGATCAGAAGGGCATCGTTTATGCGATCTTCTAGGCTCGTGTAAGCTGCCCAATCAGGATACCCAACTGGGGAGGTTCTACTCCACTAAACCCTAAATACCCTAAATCCTAAACCCGAAACACCCTAAACCCGAAACCCGAAATACCCTAAACCCTGAACACCCTAAAATACCCTGAACCCGAAACCCGAAACGCCCTAAACCCCTAAACCCCTAAACCCCTAAACCCTAAACCCTAAACCCTAAACCCCTAAACCCTAAACACCCTACACCCTAAAGCCTAAACCCTAAACACCATCTTGGAACCTGAGACTTGGTAACCCCAGTAACCATAGTATAAAAAGGGCACCCTTTCTTGGTTGGTTAACTTAGGGAACCTTGAACCCAATAAATGGGAAAAGGCTACCACTGGGGCTACCAAGCTGAGAAGTTCAGAAGTTCACTCGCACTTCCAGGCAAGATCCGCAACGTTCGGGCCTTGAAGACAGAGAGGGAGAACCTTGACAACGTAGGTTCTTGTTTAGGGTTTAATAGGGTTTAGGGTTTATAGGGCTTATAGAAATTGTATAGGGTTTGGGTCCCAATAAGGTTTAATCGTTTAGGGCGTTTTGGGCTTATAAAAAAAACTGTATAGGGCTTGGGTCCCAACAACGTTTTGAGCGAAAGTGTCTCTTAGAACCGAATTCGCACCCTGGCCTCCTGGGACTCCTAGGGTTTAGGGTTTAGGGTTTAGGGTTTAGGGTTTAGGGTTTAGGGTTTACAGTTTAGGGTTTAGGGTTTAGGGGTGGCCTTTTGGGGCGGATGCTTGAACAAACCTCCCACCTTTCCTCCAGACAAAAGACCCCAGAGGTTTAAGTAGATTGAGCATTTGGCCTCCTAGGCGTTTTGGATGAATTTACTCCAACTCTGCTTGTCAGCTGTTTAGACAAATAACTTGGTAAGTTCAGAATGAAAACACATACAATTGATATTTATTTTGTCTTGAGGGTCTAGGGTTAGTTTAGGGATTGGGGTTTAGGGTCTAGGGTTTGGGGTCGCTTGTCTCTGCTTACAACTTGCCACCTTGCGTATAACGTCGGAACGACACGTCACATCACAGACAGATGCTCCTGCAACCCAATACCCCTTGATTAAGGAATGTGCATTAAACCATATGGGGGCTCTTACGAGAGTTAGGCCCAGAGAGCCCACAACCCCTCAACTAAGGAATCTACCTGAAAGTACAAACGGATCCTTAGTATGATTTGAGGTTAATGGTTAACTCCTTAATTACGGTGGTATAAAGCGCTCTTTGGGTTGCCTCAAAGATCCGTCACTCTTTGATTCATCATCTTCAAGCTTCCTCAACATGTGGCCGTTTTGTCGTAAAACCAACCCTACAACCCCAAAACCCTGAACCCTAAACCCCAAAGCCTAAACCCGAAACCCTAAACCCTAAACCCTAAGCTCCAAAAGCCTATAATCCCTAAACGAGCTGGGGAGCGCGAAGAGCAGGGCCAAGAGCATCAAAAGCTTCGGCACCTGCGCACGACCCTGAGCCTATCAAACCAAGCCCAGAGAACTCGACGCCTAAACCCTCAACCCTAAACCCAAAACCCTAAACCCTAAACCCTCAAACCTCAACCCTCAACCCTCAACCCTAAACCCTAAACCCTGAACCCTGAACCCTGAACCCTGAACCCTGACCGACTGCCAGGGTTTAGGGCTTGGGGTTTGAGGTTTTGGGCTTAACCCTTACCCAGGGAATCGAATTTCCCCTTGATTAAGGAATACTCCTTTCAAAAATAGGGCTTCTTATATGGCCTTAAGGAATATTTCTTAAAACGAAGCATGGGGCTTCTTCTATGGTTCAAGGAATATTCCTTTGCCAAGGCGTATTATTGGAGTCTCTGCATAGCTAAGGAATGCATCTTCTTCCTGCTTCTTCGTAGCGAATGAGGGAAGGAGGTACCTTGCACATCCCCCTATACATGCTCTTTCAGGGATGATGTAGGGTACCTCATTCCCTACTAAGAACCAGTAGGTCTCAAACAATGTAAGTTTAGGATTTAGGTTTAGGGTCTAGGGCTGCAGTCCACATGTTCCAACGCCTTCTCCTTTACACTCGTAGCCTTGCACCAAGACCAGACAGAAGTCCGAAGGACTCAGATCTTCCAGAGTAGCTTCCTTCAGAAATATACCTATAGGAGCCCGAATGCAGACCCCTAAACCCTAAACCCTAAACCCTAAACCCTAAACCCTAAACCCTAAACCCTAAACCCTAAACTCTAATCCGAGCATCTGTTTAATTAATACACCCACATTTGAAGAGTTTTTTTCGCCGAGAAGCCCGCCGGAAGACTACTTTCCATTACGGTGGATTTCGTATGGGCCAATACCACCACATTTAAAGAAAATGTTTTCGGGGAGGTTCCAAAAATCTGTCGGCAGGCTTCTTGTTTTGCTTGCTGAGCTGCGAAGCTACAGCACCTCAGGGATCTGCGGCCTATTGTTTTGAATAGAGAATCAAGACAGGGCCACGGTCTAACTATTGCGGAACCCGGCCTTTCTTATTGCGGTGGGGAGGGGGGGGGGGGGGGCCCAATTAAACAGATGCTCGGATTAAACCCTAAACCCTAAACCCTAAACCCTAGATCCTTTATGGTTTTCAGGAAGATTCCATACGCCAGCTAGTTTTGCTCGAAGGTCTGGGTCCCCCAAGAAACCCCCTGAACGCCAAACCCTAAACCATACACCATAAACCCTAAATCCTCAACATAGTACTCCAAAACCCAAGAAGCCCCTACACCCCAAACACTGCCTTCGCTCCATCCCTACGATCTGGGCGCCTCGGCCGTGCACGACGAGATGCGGGGGTGTAGGGTTTAGGGTTTAGAGTTTCGGGTAACCCCACTCTGCGTTCGCAGAGTTGACGCCTTACTCAGGGATTTATGGGGTTTCAGGGTCTATCAGAAACATCTCGAAGCCGCTTCGAACCCAGCAAAGCCCGATCTGAGAAGCGGGCCAATTCATTGGGCAGCCTGCCAGGGTGTGCACTGGCACGCGATCAGAGGGCTAAGCCCTAAACCCTAAACCCTAAACCCTAAACCCTAAACCCTAAACCCTAAACCCTAAACCCTAACCCTCAGCATGGGGTTTAGGGTTTCGGATCTAACTCCCCACCCGCCTTCAGCAAATTCTATGGGGGCCCACGCGCATCACCACTACGTTCAAAACATTCAGGCCACACGGCTACAGCAAACGGGATGCATGGGTTTAGGGTTTAGGGTTTAGGGTTTAGGGTTTAGGGTTTAGGGTTTAGGGTTGAGGGTTTAGGGTTTAGGGTTTAGGGCTTAGGGTTCCGCCACGTGCATCATGCAGCACCTAGCCTAGGCAGGGCGTGTGTGTGTGTGTGTGTGTGTGTGTGTGTGGCGAAATCAGTCTCTCTGAGTCGAGTCTGCTCACCCTAAACCCTAAGCCCTAAGCCAATGAAGCTTTTCAAAATCAAATGTGTGCATACATATGTGTATATTCATATATGCGAGTACAAATACACATATGTGCATAGGGGTTCAGGGTTTCTGGCTACGGGATCTTGAGTGTAAAGTAACGTATATAGACTCGGCCAAATCAGGTCGCGGCGCGGGAAACCCCACATCTGACATCTACATGAACCAGGGTTTATATTACTGTTTTTGGTGACTGTATATAAGGTTCCTTTTTAGCATTGGTGTCCTATTGGGGATACAAGGAATATATACCCTACTTCACATGAGATCTTTTGGCTCTCCGACCCCCCACGGCGCTCACAAATTCGATTCTGTACGCCTACGAAACAGCCTGGGAAAGCTGGCGTTCGATTCATGATCCGGTCGAGACGGCTTGCAGTGGCAGGGGCCCTCTAAAGAAGGTTTGGAGTGGTATGGTTCAGGGTGCTGGGCTGAGGGCTCCAGAGGGTTTAACGGTATAAGGTGTCTATTAAAGGGCTTAAGGGTTCTAGGGTTTTATATAAGGGTTTTAGGGTTTCAGGGTTTAAGGGTTTAAGAGCTTTAAGGGTTTAAGGGTTTCAAGGAATCTTGGGTAGGTTCGTCAGAGATGCTGCCCAACTGCTTCCTGGGACGCTGGTGTCTCAGCTCTCCGCACATGGCTCCTTCGCAGAGCCACCCACGTCTCGCTTGCGCTTTCCGAAGGGCACCTTGACAGCCCAGCAACCATGTGGGGGTTTAGGGTTTAGGGTTTAGGGTTTAGGGTTTAGGGTTTAGGGTTTAGGGTTTAGGGTTTAGGGTTTAGGGTTTAGGGTTTAGTTTAGGGTTTAGGGTTTAGGGTTGCAAATCTTTCTTGGAGGTTCATGGGACTTGATAACCAATTCTAACTGTACTTGTAACCCTACTCATAAGTGGGATAACCCCTATAAGGCCCTCTTAGGGGTATTGTAAGTAGGGTTACAAGTACAGTTATAATTGATTAGTAAGTACCATGAACCTCCAAGTTTGGGGGTTTCCGACAATCAGGGGCCCCTACTATGGACCCCCCCCCAAACAGTAGGATTCCCTGAATAGAAGGACCCCAATAAGGTACCCCTAATATCGGAAACCCCCCCCCCATATAATGATGATGATACCCCGTAGCCTCTACCCTCGACCCTTTTTGGGATTGGTGAGGGAACCTAGAACCCTGTACCGTGCACCCGCTTCATAAGGGCTCCTAGAACCCCCCCCCCCCCCCCAAAAAAAAAAAAAAAACACCACTGGGGCTGCTAAGGCGCCAAGGCAGACTTGGAGCCTTCCAGCAAACGCAGGGGGAGGGTCCGATGCGCCAGGCGCGTCGCGTAGATCGCAAGCAAGGACTCTTGCTTGGCGCTCAGGTCCTTTTAGGGTTTAGGGTTTAGGGTTTAGGGTTTGAGGGTAGTTCTACGCAGGGGTATTAAGTGCCCTGAACCAGGTGCTCAGTATAGCTGTCATACTTGAAACCCTACTTATCACTGCCCATGAACCTCCACCAAGGAAAGAAAGAGGTTGAGCTTCTGCAATTTTCCTAACCAGGAACGGCATAAAAGGTTTCAAGTTGAACTGCTGGCTAAGTAAGTGTCCTTCTTGATTGCAAATGGCTCGTCGTCCTTGAGCGGTTGCAACAATGCCTCACTGAATTTCTCCAAAGGAACAAAAGCAAACTGTGCAAGTGATTGTCCAACAACTCTTACTAGCATATTAAAAAGTTGCCCACTCAGCACCTTAGATGCTCGGGCCACTTCCTCAACACAAAGTGCAAGCCCGGCCGACGCGTAGCCGCCCTCAAGACCCAAGAGCAGGCGGCCTTGGCAAAGATCCCGCGCCAGCATCTTGAGTGCCTAGGTCCCGGAGAGCGCCTAGGAATTGTAGGAGAGAACCTTTTGGAATGAACCAAAGGCGACCTCTCATCAGCAGGCTTACTCTTCTAGCAAGACCTGCCCTACACCAAATTCCCTACACCCTGAACCCTAAGCCCTAAACCCTAAGCCCTAAGCCCTAAACCCTAAACCCTAACCCTAAACCCCTAAACCTAAACCCCGGTAGCCCCAAGAAAAAAGGAGACAACAGAGAACCACTCTCCGTCTCCTAACCCTAAACCCTAAACCCTAAACCCTAAACCCTCCGTCTCCTAGCTGCGCTTGTGACCTGGCCGAAGACCAGGGGAGTGCACTTTGCCTCGGTGGCCCAGCAAGCATAGGGTTTAGGGTTTAGGGTTTAGGGTTTAGGGTTTAGGGTTTAGGGTTTAGGGTTTAGGGTTTAGGGCTTAGGGTTTAGGGTTTAGGGTTTAGGGTTTAGGGTTTAGGGTTTAGGGCTTCGGGTTTAGGGTTTAGGGTTTAGGGTTTGGGGTTTAGCGTTTAGGGTGATGACCCTTAAAACCCCTCTTGAAAAATAGTCCTGAATATGATCCCGATAAGAACAATAAGGGAAGATCTGAAATGTCCTAAGGGCCTGCCGAGTGTGATTGAGTTGAAGGTTTTGAGGGTTTGGAGTTGAGGGTTTAGGCTTGGGGTCTAGGGTTTGGGGTTTAGTTGCCCTAAACCTTGTAAACCCTAAACCCTGAACCATAAATCCTGAACCCCAAACCCTAAATCCCTAAACCCAGAAACCAAGAAGGTCGACAAAGGGCGCCACTAGGCTAGCGAGGTGCGTCACCCATCGGATCCCCTTCCAAGGCGTCAAAGCCTGCGCCGACGAGCATAAGGTTCCTAAACCCTAAACCCCTATCCCCTACACCCCTAAACCCTAAACCCTAAACCCTAAACCCTAAACCCCTATCCCCTACACCCCTAAACCCTAAACCCTAAACCCTAAACCCTAAACCCCAAACCCTAAACCCCTATCCCCTAAACCCCTAACTCAAAGCCTGCGCTGACCAGGATTAGGTCCGGCTTGAAGCGCCTTGCAGCTGGAAGGAGTACCTTGCAGCCCAGAGGGCTTCCCAAACCCTAAACCCTAAACCCTAAACCCTAAACCCTAAACCCTAAACCCTAAACCCCGAAAGCCCTAAACCCTAAACCCTAAATCCCTAAAGCCTAAACCCCTGCACCCTAAACCCCTTCTAGGTCCCCATGAATCCCCAGAAAATGAAAGGTAGCTGCTTTTTTGTTCGGTTTAGGGTTTAGGGTTTAGGGTTTAGGGTTTAGGGTTTAGGGTTTAGGGTTTAGGGTTTAGGGTTTAGGGTTTAGGGTTTAGGGTTTAGGGTTTAGGGTTTAGGGTTTAGGGTTTAGGGTTTAGGGTTCTGAGGTCTCTACCGTAGGGGGGAGAGAGGCTCTGACCTTTGGGCTGCAGGGGTCCGAGAAGTCAGAGACTTTTCCCGCTCAAGACCCAAGGCGCTTTTGCACAGGCCAGCCAAAGGCAGGCATCACCAAAGCCAGGAGGCATGGCTACATTCACAGTGTAGCCACTGCCGGCGCCATCCCCGGTTTCCGTCGCAGCGCCAGTGTTGGGATAGAATCCCGCCTCGAACTCGTGAATGCTCAGTACCAGCACCTCCGGATCCGATTCGAAGATTTCCTGAGTGCCCTGTCCATGATGAACATCCCAATCGAAGATCAGCACGCGCTTCACGAGGTGGGGGTACCTGTTTGCAGTCACGACTCCAGTGGGGAATCCTGCTAGCAGGCTAGAGCGGCTAGGCAGAACAGGATGCCTTTAATTAAGGTAGGCCACCTTAGCATGGTTTAAGGTATATATGCCCTAAGAACCCTAAACCATAAGCCCTAAACCTTAAACCCGAAGCCCTAAACCCTAAACCCTAAACCCTAAACCCTAAACCCTAAACCCTAATTGAGGGGTATTGGGCTCTTCAGGGGCAAAGAATGTTAAAGCTTGCATCCCGGGCCGCCTGGTTTTCGCATAGCGTGCCGCCACTGCCACGTTGTTCCTGGGTCCCAGAGTAGCTTGGGATAAAGAACGGGACCCTAAACTTTTAAACTGCAAACCCTAAACCCTAAACCCTAAACCCTAAACCCTAAGCCCCTTTTGTTTGAAGGGCTTTGTAAGCGAACCTCACCCCCACAAAAAAAAAAAAAAAACAACCAAATAAGGGGCCCACTCAGAGACTCCAATACTCCTGAACTAAGCAATGTTCCTTAGACCGTATAAGGAACCCTTCTGCAGTTTAAGGGGTTTTCCTTCACTATAGGGGTATTGCTTGAAGGTTCATGGTACTTGCTAACCACTTATAGCTGGGCTTATAATCGGGATAACCCCTATATAAGGCCCTTTAGGGGTATGTAAGTAGGGTTATAAGTACAGTTGTAAGTTAGTAAGTACCATGAACCTCCAAGTGGAGTCCCAGGGTGCACTCTACGTCCGAGGCTCAGGAGGCAGAATCCCGTGCTGCTGCAGCGGCCAGCATGGTGCCCCGGCGGCCGGCACAGAGCCAGCCCGCATGAGCTGCCCCCAGTGAGGCATTCCTGGCAAAAAAAACGGCTAAACCCTAAACCCTATACCCCAAACCCTAAACCCTCAGCCCTGAACCCTAAACCCTAACCCCTAGGTGGTTTTAGGCTTTGTGAGTTCGTGAGGTTTACGATTTTAGAAGTTCGGGTGCTGGTCCGCAAGGCTTATCAGCCCAAACCGGAAACCATGTAAACCGTATACACCCCAAGAAACCCTGAACCCGAAGCTCGAAGCCCTATTGTGAACCCCCCAAACTCTCAACAGCGAACCCTGATTAAAAAAACAGTATAAATAATCATATATATATATATACATATAAACAATACAATTAGAAAAATGACTCAGCGTCGCCAGGGCTCGTCCACCAGAGACAGCATTGCACCCGACGCGTGGCGCGCAGCCTGACGTCTCCGGGCCACTAGGGCTTGAACCCTAAACGCTAGAGCCTACACCCTACATCCAAAACCCTAAACCCTAAACCCTAAACCCTAAACCCTAAACCCTAAACCCTAAGCCCTTTCCCGGGTTTCAGGGATTAGATCAAGGTTTCTACAGCTTGCAGGCTTGATCGGGTTGATTGTGAGGGCTTTTTGGAGCTACATGGAGTAGGGTTTATATTTCTTCTTGGCTGCTCTTAGCAGGGTAGCTATAAATTTAATTTCTAGCTGCCTTCTTAAGAAACCCAATAAACCCAAAAAGGCTAAAGATGTAAAGTTACAGTAAAGCACCACAAAGTCTTGCACCCCCAAAAGGACATCCAAGGCACACACTCACCAACACCAAAAAGGAAGCTTAGATTATACACTCACCAAAAACAGTAATATAAGCCCTGCTTCACATGGTCCCTAGACAACCTAACCTAAGGGCCCGTGCTTCAGTACCCTTCACAGGAGGTAAGGGACCAGTACCGACCCTTAGAGATTGAGGGCATAGAAGGGTTTAGGGTTTAGGGTTTAGGGGCATAGAAGGAGTTAGGGAGCGTGACTACCCAAAGAAGTCCAATTCGGGTCAGGTGGAACTCAGGCAATGATCCCCAAGCCTCAAAGCCCAAAACTCTAAATAACCCCTAAACCCGAATCCCTAAATCCCTAGACCCTAAAATCCCAAACTAAATCCCTAGACCCTAAATCCCAAAATCCCTGAACCCTAAATCCCTAAATCCCTGAACCCTAAATCCCAAAATCCCTGAACCCTAAATCCCTAAACTCTAAACCCTCTTTCCCTAAGCCCCTTAAGCTCCTACACCCCGAGCCCTTTAGGCTGGAGCTGTTCCCGAAGTCCCAAAAAGGCCCTAAAGCCCTAAGTCCCTAAACTCCTCCTTTAGGGTGGTAAGTCCCTAAACCCCATAAGTCCCCTACACCCTAAGCCCTTTAGGGTGGTCAGTCCATAAATCCCTAAACCCTAAACCCTAAACCCTAAACCCTAAACCCTAAACCCTAAACCCTAAACCCTAAACCCTAAATCCCTACACCCTAAGCCCTGCAGGGTGGCTGGCACCTCAAGGGATCCAGCCGTCAGGTATGTATCGCAGCCCGTAGCATGCTTGCCGGTCAACTCATCCTGCGAACCCTGAACTTGGGGTTTAGGGTTTAGGGTTTAGGGTTTAGGGTTTAGGGTTTAGGGTTTAGGGTTTAGGGTTTAGGGTTTAGGGTTTAGGGTTGAACCCTAAACCCTGAACCCGAAACCCTAAACCCTAAACCCTCAACCCGGACCAGAGTGGTCTGAAGCCTCCAACTGTGGGGTACCTTCATGTGGGTCTCCTTGTAGGGTTTAGGGTTTAGGGTGTAGGGTTTAGGGTTTAGGGACTTAGGGATTTAGGGATTTCGGGATTTAGGGATTTAAGGATTTAGGGATTTCGGGACTGCGGGCTTAGCGGCTTAAGGTTTAGGGATAAGGGATACTTTGACTTTTTGTTCCATAGGAACCCTTCGACTTCAAAAGGAAAGGGCCCTCTAGTCTAGTACAGCCACCTAATTCCCAAAGCCCAGACGCTAAACCTAAGCTAAGCCATAAACCCTAAACCCTAAACCCTAAACCCTAAACCCTAAACCCCTAAACCCCTAAACCCCTGAACCCTGAACCCTGAACCCTGAACCCTAAACCCCTGAACCCTGAACCCTGAACCCTGCATGTCCTCGCCGAGTCCTTCTAAACAGCCGCCCGGAGGCAGCCAAATGGGCCGCCTTTTCAGAGGTGGGTTTAGGGTTTAGGGTTTAGGGTTTAGGGTTTAGGGTTTAGGGTTTAGGGTTTAGGGTTTAGGGTTTAGGGTTTAGGGACTTGAGCTAGGATGGCCCCTTAAAATGCTCTGATGTTTGTAAACATCATCCTCTTAAACCCAAAGAGTGATTGAAAGATCTTCCTAAACCCTAAACCCTAAACCCTAAACCCTAAACCCTAAACCCTGAAACCCAAGGAGGGAAAATGTTCGAAGGGCTTGCCGAGCAAGGCTTGTAGAGGGAGAAGAAACATGGGGGCCTGGAGCTTTTCAAGGGCAACTATGGGAGACAACCATCCTCCTTAGAACCCTAAACCCTAAACCCTAAACCCTAAACCGGGGTCCCCTTCTAAGGGCCCAGTAGGGTTTAGGGTATAGGGTTTAGGGTTTAGGGTTTAGGGTTACTTAACTACCCTAAGAGTACCAGCCTCTCCCAAACCTAACTTTGCTCCTTGTACTTTCTGATTCGCTGGGAGCGATCGATCCTTTGGATGCTGCTTTCCTTAGCCTACTTTTTCCGGAACAATTCTTCTTAAAAAGGTTACAACTGCATTCTACTAAGGGCACCCAATGAGTTTTAAACTCATTTATTGGCTGAGTACGTTAAGGGTTGGGGCTCAGGGGCCCTAACCCCAAACCCTAATCCGCGAGGATGATGAGTTCCTCCTTCTGCGTCGCGAACCCTAAACCCTAAACCCTAAACCCTAATCCCTAAACCCTAAACCCTAAACCCTTACCTAGTGAGGATTTGGGGTATTCGGAGCCCCCATGATAGCACCAGTCAAAATAGTACAAATAAGACATAGTAGTACTAATCAGAGTGATACTCAGGAAGGGTAATAGTAAACATCATGGTAAACGAAGTATGGCGGAATAATGCCAATAGATGGTAATCAGAATAGTACTAAAATCATGATAATAAAAACTAAACAAACAATACAGTAGATAGTACAAATAAGAATGAGACATCGTAGTCTTGAACATCCATGATAGTCCCAAAAAGTAAAACACACACATGATTCCTTACAAGGGCAATATAGGGTTTAATATTGTCATTATCTATTCATTTTCATTATTACTACTATTATTATTAAAATATTTTGTAATAATATATTTATACTTGGGGGTTCTTAAGCAACTAGTAGATTAAGGCGTTCAGGCGTTAAGGCGTGGGGGGGGGGGGGGGGGTGGCGCACTGGCCTTAGCCTTGCGGCAGTCCGAGATGCGGCCTCCAAGCCTTAGAGACCCCCGGGCGATGGTTTCGCAGAGGCGGTTGGCGTCTTAGGGCTTCGGGGTTTAGGGTTTAGGGTTTAGGGTTTAGGGTTTAGGGTCCGCCGACCCTGGCGGCGTGTTGGATGGGTTTTGGAGGTGCCTTGCAGACAGGGGCAGCCTACAAATCAACCTGCCAGCTCGGCAACCCCGAATCAAGATCGACTACAGCCCTAAACCCTCAATTCAGAATTAGGGTCCTGGTTTGGGCCCTCAACCCACCTAAAAAACGCCGAGGAGGGTGACAGTTCAACCCTGAACCCTAAAGGCCTCCTCATCTCTGTGGCGTTTAGAGCTTTTTCAAAATTTAGGTAAGACCTCAGCCCAAGACTCTGATCATTACGATTGCCCTCCCAGACCTCGCAACCCAAACCCTCCCGACCCTAAGACAGACTTGGGGAAGCGGTCCCTAACATCATAGCTCCAAAATCGCAGCACCCTAAACCCTAAACCCTAAACCCGAAAACCCGAAAACCCGAAAGCCCTAGAACCTCAACGCATTAGAAGCCCCCAATTCCCTCAACCCTAACACCTCAAAACCCTGATCCAAGAGTTGGACAATCCGAAAGCCTAAAGCCTCAAAAGCGGCTTAGGGTTTGGGGTTTGGGGTTCACGCCCTTAACCTACTGGCTCTTAATAGAGAATGAGGGAGAAGAGTACCTCATTCCCTCATTCCCTGCAAAAAGAATCAGTACGCGAAGCACCACCGCCCTGGCAAATCCAACCCAGGGCCCCCAAAACTTGAGAACCCGAAACGTTAAAACCCCAAGGCCTAAACACGGAAATTAGGGCTTAGGATTCATGGTGTAGGGTTTCGGGCTTGGCAGGGTTCAGGGTTTAGTGTTTAGGGTTCACTGTTTAAGGTTTTAGCTGTCAGGGTTTAGTGATTAGGGCTTAGGAGTTCGGAGTTTAGGGTTCAGGGTTTAAGGGTTCAATTAGGGTTCGGGGTTTAGGGTTTAGGCTTTGGGGTTCAGTGTTCAGTGTTCAGGGCTCACCCTAAACCCTAAACCCTAAACCCTAAACCCTAAACCCTAAACCCTAAACCCTACGTTAAACTTGCCAAACCTCGAGGCTGCGACCAGCCAAGTGTTCCCGGGAATGGCAGAGGGCTAACTCCTGAGGCAGCTGATAGGGTTTAGGGGGTTTAGGGGGTTTAGGGGGTTTAGGGGGTTTAGGGGGTTTAGGGGGTTTAGGGGGTTTAGGGGGTTTAGGGGGTTTAGGGGGTTTAGGGGGGTTAGGGGGTTTAGGGGGTTTAGGGGGTTAGGGGGTTTTAGGGGGTTTTAGGGGGTTTAGGGGTTTAGGGGGTTAGGGGGTTTAGGGGGTCTCTCTTGTTTTTTGGTTTTATGGGGGCTCATGGGTAGTTATACATAGGGTATCGTAGGGATATAAGTATGGTAAATATACTTCTAAAATCACTTAGAACCCCCTTCGAAGTACCCATGACGCTTTGGGACTTAGGAGTTTAGGGGGTAAGGGGTTTAGGGTTTAGGGTTTAGGGTTTAGAGTTTAGGATTTAGGGTTTAGGGGGGTTAGGGAAAGGGCGCTTAAGGGCTTGGGGGTGTTAATGGATTATGGGGGTTTAGGTTGAGGGGGGCTTAGGGTTTAAGGCCTTTGGGGGTGTTAGGGGCTTGTTTAGGTTTGGGGGGTCTTCGGGGGTTAGGGGTTTAGGCGCGCGTTTCAGGAGGTTAAGGTTTATGGTGGCAGTCTTAGAGGCTTTGGGGCGTTCAGGGCATGGCGGGCTTGGATTTGGTTCAGGGTTGAGGCTTCAAGGTCGTTTTTGTGAGTCATCCAGAGCACGGTGGGATTTTCGGAGAGAGAAGGAAATCAGGGTCCAAGGTTTCGGGTGTAAGGATGGTAGAGTAACTAGAAGGTTTGGCTGGACTCAGGAGGGTAGCTATAAATTAACCTTTTAGCTGCCTTAATAAGAAACCCAATAACCCCAAAAAAGGTAAGGATCTAAAGTTACAGCAAAGTACCACAAAAAATGTGTTGCACTGAGCAAGCTAGCTATGTCATGACACATTGTCGTTAGCCTTGGCCTCAAGATCAGGTCAGAGGCGCAAGCCCACGCAAATTTGTAGGACAGACCACACATGTGCAAAAGACATGGGGGGGCGGCAAGATCAAGGCTCAACAAGAGGACTCCAACTAGGAAAGGTCGAGAACGCAGAAAGAAAGGGGGTGTCAAATTGTCAAAAGAAAACATGCATCTCTTTCTGCATCACCACCCAAAACCCTAAACCCTAAACCCTGAACCCTGAACCCTAAACCCTAAACCCTAAACCCTAAACCCTAAACCCTAAACCCTAAACTCTAAACCCTAAACCCTAAACCCGAACCCCTGAACTTTTGATTAACAGGGCGAGGCACGCACGCTGAAGGGATCGCCGAATGAGAGGGGGATCGGCTTCGGGTTTGGGGCTTTGGGTTTAAGAGTTCAAGGGTTTAGGGGTTTAAGGGTTTAAGGGTTTAAGGGTTTAAGGGTTTAAGGGTTTAAGGGTTTAAGGGTTTAAGGGTTTGGGGTCTACCCAGTTGCCTAAACCAGAATAGCTGCACGGCTAGTGGCTAGCGGGCTACTTCGGGGTTCATGGGTAGTTCTGAGTGGGGTTATTTGGGGGTTTCCGAGGGTACCTTATTGGGGTCACTGTTAGAGGGGAATCCTGCTATTTGGGGAACGATGTTACGGGCCCCTCATTTTAGTAAACCCCCACTTAGGGTGCTTATAACCCTCCTCATAGCTCCAAGTAATCATGTCCTTTCAAAATCAAGTACAGGATTTGAGGGTTTGGGGAATAAGGGTGTTCAGGAAACCCTCCCAAAGCCCTACACCCTAAAACCCTTTGTGAGGGAACCTTGGATCCAAAAACAAGGGAGAAAAGGGTACCACTGGGCTACCAAGTCTGTGCAAGTTCGACGCCGTGGCTCTTCATCTGTGGCCCTTCGAGCCTGGGCTGAAGAAAGCACGGACAAGACGGGTTCAGGGTTTAGGGTTTAGGGTTTAGGGTTTAGGGTTTCGGGTTTAGGGTTTAGGGCTCAGGGTGACTCAGGTTTTCTGCCTTCTTAAAAACGCTGCGAATGACCTGCCATGAGCTTCCAAGCAAGCCCCCCGCCCCAAACCGTAAACCCGAACCCCTAAGCCCTAAACCCCTAATTCCAAGTAGGGTTTGAGGGTTTCGAGTTTAAAAGGTTGAGGGGTCCGGGGTTGTGTAGGTTATAGGGTTATGGGGTGTAGGGTTTAAGGTTGAGGGTTGAACCCGCAACACTCCTACACCCTGGACTCGACTAAAACTCCAATCCCCACGCCCTACACGGCACGCGAAAGGCGTTGAAACCTTTGAAACTCTGATCTCTAAATCCTGAACCTGTAATCCTCAACCCCATTGGGGAAACCTCTGCCTACTCTGCACCAAAACCTCACACAGCGTACAATCGTGAACTTCTGGCAGCGTTTAGGGGTTTCAGTTCAACTTGGATTTGTAGGCCCTCAGCCCTAAACCCACGTTTTAGGTAGGGCGTGTCTGCACCCTAAATCGTAAACCACCTGCTGCTGCCCAGGCACGGTAAGTTCTGTCAGCTTCCGCCACAGACCTGCGCGCGTGTCAGGGACTGGGGTTTAGCCCTACTTTGGAGAAGACCCTGGAAACACAGAACATATTTTCAGGTAGATGTAACTATCATAGAAGCCCAGAACCAAAAAAATATTAAAGTATAGTACTCCAAAACCAGTTAAAGTGGCTTTAGGGTTTGAGAACTCTTGCTCTGTAGGTTTGTGGCCACCCGCCGGCGATGTAAACCTGCAAATTGTGTGAGACGCGGCTACGACAGGCGCTTAGGGTTTGGGGGGTGTAGGGTTTAGATATTCGTACCCCGAAACCCTGAGCCCTGAACCCTAAACCCTAAACCCTAGCCCTCAACCCACGATGTTTAGGGCGTAGGTTTAAGGGTATCTCCTTCTCCTACTTCCCCCCTGCGCCTCCCATGGTAATGCCGGCAATGCAGGCGCGGAGACGCTGTGGCTCCTTTCGAAATGCTCAGGGTGTGCGGTTTAGGATGCAGGGTCTAGGAAGAGCCCTAAACCCTAAACCCTAAAAACTAAATCCTAAACCCTAAACCCTAAACCCTAAACCCTTCTATTCAGGGAGCCGGTTTGGGATTGAAGCTTTGGGGGGGCGCAGGCTGCCCTGCTGCGCAAACCTCCAAACCTCCACCCAAAACCCCTTCAACCCACCTAAACCCCAAAACCCTAAACCTTACACCCCTATACATCCTGAAGCCCTAAACAAAAACTCTCCTCCCCCCCCCCCCCCCCGGGCCTCCCCAGGCTCTAAAGCAGCTGATGCTAATCCCCCTAAACCATAAGTAAACCGTAAACCGTAAACCGTAAACCGTAAACCCTAAACCCTAAACCCTAAACCCTAAACCTTCACTCAAAGACTACAGTGACTAAAGCCCCCGCCTCATGGTGGACACCCTTTCCTTTCTGGCGCTTCGTCGGGTTGCCGCCATAGCAATGCTCCTCATCAACTGCGCAGCAACTGGCGGTTTAGGGTGTAGGTCCCTAAACCCTAAACCCTGAACCCCAAACCCTAAACCCTAAACCCTGAACCCTGAACCCTAAAACCTAAAACCTATACCCTAAACCCGAAACCCGAAACCCGAAGCCCTGCAATGAGCACCCGAAGCCCTTGGCTTGGCGCCGAGGCTGCAGTGGAGGCTGCGACTACAAACAAGAGGGTTTTGAGTTTAGGGTTTAAAGGGTTCAGGGTTTGTGGGGTTTAGGGCTTAGGGTTCAGGGTTAGGGTTTAGGGCTTAGGGTTTCGGGTTTAGGGTGTCGGGTCTAGGGTTAGGGTTTGCAGATAGGAGGTTTACGCCAGGGTCCCGATGACCGCTTCCTGCCCTGAGCTTATCCTCCTCTAGCTTTCCGGCATGCCCCTTGCGTGAGGTCCTTAAGCAGTTCTCGATGGCCACGGTTCACGCACAAGATCTGTGGGATTATCACAGGGGAACGCGAGTCGTAGCAGAAAGACGCCCTAAATGCTAAAGCGTGAACCCTGAACCCTAAACAGCTTGGGGTTAGAAGCCGCTGGCATTTGAGATAAGATGTATTCATACTTACGAATACATGCGCAGATGGTAGCCTCAAACCCTAAACCCTAACCTTTACATCCAAATCGACCCCAAAGCAGTCCTGCATGATCTCCTGCTGATGACCAGCAATCGCAACCCTGTCGTGGGCGAGTGAAGGCGAGCTCATAGCTGCCTGGAGACGGATCAGGGTGCAGGGTTTGGGTTTTGGGTTTGAGAGTTTGGGGTTTAGGGTTTAGGGTTCGGGTTTTTTATGATTTAGAGCTTCAGGCTCAGGGCTTGAGGGTTGAGGGCTTAAAGGGTTGAGGTCTAAAGGGTTGAGGGCTGAAAGGGTTGAGGGCCGACAGGGCTAAAAGGGTTCACGGGTTTTTACGTTTAAAGGGTTGAGGGTTTGGGCTCTGCAGTTCACTTCTTGGCTGTTTGCGGACGACACACGAGGAAGATGGCGACCCTAGACCTTGTAAACCCTAAACTCTTAGAGATGAGGGTTTAGGGTTTAGGGTTTAGGGTTTAGGGTTTAGGGTTCAGCATCTCAAGTCCAAGCATTCACTAGTCAAGAAATTACTCCAGAAAAAACACCCACCCGCCCAAAGAATCCCACAACATTAAGAAAATATTTCACTTATGGAACGACCTTGCCCAGAAAAAAATGACCTTGCCCAGCAAAAAATGACCTTGTCCAATAAAAAATGACCTTGCCCAGTAAAAAAATGACCACCTTGCCCAGTAAAAAGATGACCTTGCCCAGTAAAACAAAATGACCTTGCCCAGTAAAAAAATGACCTCGCCCAGTTAAAAAATGACCTTGCCCAGTAAAAAGATGACCTTGCCCAGAAAAAATGACCTTGCCCAGTACACAATAACCTTGCCCAGTAACAAAATGACCTTGCACTGTAATGACCTTGCCCAGTAAAAAGATGACCTTGCCCAGTAAAAAAAAGACCTTGCCCAGTAAAAAAATAACCTTGCCCAGTAAAAAAATGACCTTGCCCAGTAAAAAGATGACCTTGCCCAGTAAAAAGATGACCTTGCCCAGTAACATTTTTACTGGGCAAGGTTAGTTTTTTACTGGGCAAGGTCGTTTTTTTGGACGAAACGACCTTGCCCAGTAAAGAAATGACCTTGCCAAGTAAAAAAATGACCTTGCCCAGTAAAAAATGGCCTTGCCCAGTAACGCCTTAACATTTAAATTATACATGAAAGAGGGGTTTAGGGTTTAGGGGTTAGGGTTTAGGGTTTAGGGTCTGGGGTTTGGGGTTGGTTTAAAGTTTAGGGTCTCGGGTTCAAGCGCCTGCTCCTCAACAGGCTGCGATCGCTGACTTGGAGCCATGGCCGGAACGAATTCTCTACATCCACGGCGCGCCGACCCTAAACCCTAAACCCTAAACCCTAAACCCTAAACCCTAAACCCTAAACCCTAAACCCTAAACCCTAAACCCTAAACCCTAACCCTAAACCCTAAACCCTAAACCCTAAACCCTAAACCCTAAACCCTAACCCTAAACCCTAAACCCTAAACCCTAAACCCTGAACCCTAAACCCTAAACCCTAAACTCTAAAAGAAAGTAAGGCGGGCTGCGGAGTCCGTGCCCACCGCAGCACAGCCAAACTGGTCGGGTTTACACTTGGAGGTTCATGGGTAGTAGGCTTCTAAGTATGGCTGCTACTTAAACCCCATGTAGGGCACCTATAACCCTACGTATAACTACCCATGCAAGTCGGGTTTAGGGCCTATAGCGGCTAGGCAGCTAGGGTCGAAAGTTCAGAACCACGAGGACAAGTTGCCCCAGCAGTCAACTTCGGGACCCTAAACCCTAAACCCCAAACCCCAAATCCTAAACGCAACTTGGAGGCCCTTAGAGTCCTAGCCATATGCTCCAGGCCACCTGCAGCGGGCGCCTTCTCAGTCCGCGGACGCGCGAAAGCGACAGCATGCTTTAGGGTTTGGGGTTTGGGGTTTCGGGTTTGGGGTTTAGGGTTTAGGGTTTAGGGTTTGGGGTTTGGGGTTTGGGTTTTCGGGTTTGAGGTTTAGGGTGTATCTGATTCAGAAAAGACACCTGCGTTTAAGGTCTAGGATTTTAGCCCTCCAACCCCCTAAACACATAGGGGGGTTAAAGGTTTAGGGCAGGGCCGGAGGCAGGGTTTAGGGTTTAGGGTTTAGGGTGTCAGGGTGTCAGGGTGTCAGGGCGTCAGGGTGTCAGGGTTTAGGAAGTAGGGTGGCAGAGCGGCAGGGCTGTAAGGGGCCGCCCTGCATTCCCTGCCTAAGGCTTGTTCGAGCTTGATAAGGCCTCAGGCCCCCAAACCCCCCTCGTCCTTTTAAACCCCCCCCCGTCCTAGCAAAACACCCAAATCACAAGCCTTGCTAAGCCCCCAAAATTCGGGTTTAGGGTTTAGGTTTACCCTGAGTCCTAAACCCTAAACCCTCATAAGCCTTCATCGAACCTCTACATGACCCTGAGCCCCACACCCTCAAACCCTGTGCTCCAGAGAGCCCAATGATTACCCCTCAATCAAGGAAGATGGCTTAACTCAGAACAAGGGTCCTTACGCTTGTTACAGGCTTAGGGTTTAGGGTTTCGGGTTCCTTAATCAAGGGATCTTGGGCCTACATTCCTTTAAGGGATCTTGGGCCTACATTCCTTTTCAAACGGGTCTTGGGCACCCTAAACCCTAAACCCTAAACCCTAAATCCTGTGAAGCTGCTTTTGGATTCCGCTGCTCAGGCGTCTTGTTGCCCAAGCCGTTCCGAGACTTCCTCCAGAAATCCCAATGCCCCTTAGTTAGGGTTAGAGTTTAGGGTTTAGGGTTTAGGGTTTAGGGTTTAGGGTTTAGGGTTTAGGGTTTAGGGTTTAGGGTTTAGGGTTTAGGGTTTAGGGTTTAGGGTCTAGGATGCAGGGTTCAAGGTTTTGGGAGTAGCAACACGTATGAGCGTCACAGAGCTCACAGCGTGAGTCAAGAAATGCCTTAGCTGTAGTTGGAGCCCTCATTGTTCTGAATTACCTCAATAGCCAATAGCCACCCTTGAACCAAAGAGCATTGGGCTCTCTCGGCTCTGCTGCAAGGCTCACTACTTCTGAGGTCTCGTCCTGAGCGGCAGAAGCAGGCCTTCTCTCTCAACGCAACTCGGAGGTTCATTGTCAGTTGTCTAGATAGGGCTATGCGTATGGTAACTCTACGTATCTACTTCGGGCACTTTCAACCCTACTACTAACTACCGGGTTTTAGGGTTTAGGGTTTAGGGTCTAGGGTTTAGGGTTTAGGGAATCTTCAAGAAATTTCAATTCTGTGCAGAGGGTTTATAGGGTTTGGTGTTGGGGTGGCAGCCACCCGGTATACTCCCCCTTGTCCAGGTTTGTGGAAGGAGACCCCCCACCGCCCCACCCTAAACCCTAAACCCTAAACCCTAAACCCTAAACCCTAAACCCTAAACCCTAAACCCTAAACCCTAAACCCGAAAAACATCATCCCTAAACAAGGTAGTTGCAGTAGCACAAATAACTGCAAACCATGGAACTCTAGACCCTAACCCCCTAAACTTCTTGTGGGCTCCCTTCTGCAAAGCCTAGTTAGTAAACCCTAAACCCTAAACCCTAAACCCTAAGCCCGTCAGCCTTCTTTTCTCGAACTCCAACTCTTTCAGCAGCTCATCATCCACCTGGGGGCTGGTTGTTCAGGGTGGAAAGGGCTTAAGGGCTACGGTTGAGGGGTTTGGGGTTAGGGTTTAGGGTTGAGGGGTTAGGGTTTAGGGTCTAGGGTTAGGGGTTGAAAAGGTGAAATGGTTTGAAGGTTTAAGGGCTTAGGGCTTTTAAGGGTTTAAAGGGCTTAGGGCTTTGAGGGTTTAAGGCTTTGAGGGTTTAGAGCTTAGCATGACAGTTGCAAAATGTCCATCACCCCGATGCTCCAACATCTCTGACTGCGGGAATAGTCCTGGGACTGTAGGTGGGGGTTCCTATGTTACTTAAACCCTAAACCCTAAACCCTAAACCCCAAACCCCAAACCCTAAACCCTAAACCCTAAACCCTAAATAAGCCATGCATACTGAAGGAAACCTGAAGTCCCTGGGGAGCCTGGTCGGCTAGCACACCCGGAGTTGCACTTGTCAGAAACTGACGATCTCGAGGCCCGAGTGCGTCATGTGACAGGCGGCTGTGTGGCTTGCTGCCTCATACCCTAAACCCTAAACCCTAAACCCTAAACCCTAAACCCTAAACCCTAAACCCTAAACCCTAAACCCTAAACCCTAAACCCTAAACCCTGAACCCCAAGCCCTAAACCCTAAACCCTGAACCCTGAACCCTAAACCCTAAACCCTAAACCCTAAACCCTAAACCCTAAAAACCCTAAACCCTGAAGCCTACGCTCGACAAGGCCGGCCTCCTGGGCAGTGCACGTCTTGACATCGACGGCCTCGGCAAGGCCTTGGGTTTAGGGTTTAGGGTTTAGGGTTTAGGGTTTAGGGTTTAGGGTTTAGGGTTTAGGGTTTAGGGTTTAGGGTTTAGGGTTTAGGGTTTAGGGTTTGGGGTTTAGGGCTTAGGGGTAACCACATCGCCCAGGAGAATCCCTGCCGTCGTCATGATTGTCATTGTTACTAGCAAAGCTGTTGGATATACTTCGTGCTCTCATGCCTTAGTAGCGCAGTAACCATATTATGATAAGGGCACCCTTTTTGGGGTTGGTTACTTACTTGGGGAACCCATGACA